GGAGGGTCCAAGTGCAAAGGCCCTGAGGCAAGATCATGTTCACAGTGTTAATGGCATAAGCTGAGCCATAAAATAAGTTCCAGTAAATTTAAAAGGTTTCAGATCATACAAAATATGCTCTCAGACCACAGTTGAGTTAAATTAGAATAAATTTAATAAATATATATAACAAAAAGCATCTCTAAATAATCCCCAAGTATTTGGAAACTAAATAATATCTCTAAGCAACCCATAAATCAAATAAATCAAAAGAGAACTTAGAAAATATTTTTAAATGAATGAATTTGAAAACACATAATACCAAGGTTTGTATGATGCAGCTAAATTTATGACACTAAAACACCCACATTAAAAAAAGTTTGAAATTAATTACCTCAGCTTCTACCTTAGTGAACTAGAAAAAAGAAAAGCAGCAAAGTAAGGAGGAGAAAGTATATGATACAGATCAGAATAGAAAATAATGAAACAGAAAACAAAAATAATTTTAAAAAATTAATTTAAAATACTAATTCAAAAATTAATTTTAAAATAAAAAATGTGTTCTTGAGAAAATCAATAAAACCGGTAAACTTTCATGAGAGATATCAGAAAAAGAAATAAGACACAAACAACCAAAATCAAGAATGAGAGAAGTAGCACTATAAATCCTAATATTAAGGGTAAAATAAAGAGGTGTTATGTATTTTGTGCCACTAAATTCAAAAAACTTGATGAAATTTATACATGTTTTAAATAGCATGAGCTACTTACTATACCTCATTCATGAAGGAATAAATAGATGTTGAATAGCCCTGTATCTATTAAGGAGTTAAAACTACTTTTTAAATGCAATGTATTTTCATTCAACTTTTAAATGCAATTATTTAAAAAGTTGAATGAAAATCCTTTTCACAAAGAAAATCCTGGAACCAGATGATTTCACTGGTGAATTCTACCAAATGTTTAAGCAAGATATGGTACCTCATAAACAAACTTGCTTCTAGAAAATTGAAGAGGAGGAGATATTTCCCAATTTATTCTATGAGGTTAGCATTACTCTAATACCAAAACCAGGCAAAGGTAGTAATGAAAACTGAAAACCAACATACCCTCTGAGCACATTTTTAACAAAACTTTAGCAAGTTCCATGTGACGACAATATGAAAAAAGGATAGCAGGCCAGGCCCAAGTGGAGTTAATTGCATGAGTGCAAGTGGGAAAAGGAAAGAGACTGGTGTGGGTAGACGGAGTGAGCTGGGACAGTGAAAGAAGATCTGTGTAAAGTAAAGGAGGTCAGAACAGGAGTCAGTTCCAGATTGTTTGACTTCATTGGTTCAAATGATCCTAAACCAAATGGGCAATACTAATGGTGAGAATTTTAAGCCACGAGAAGCAGGCAGGGGAGATTTGCAGGGAGAGGAAACACCACAGGTTGTCATCATCATTGGAAGGACTTGGATTTTCTTTCTTTTTTTTTTAAGATTTTATTTATTTATTTTTTAGAGAGGGAAGGGAGGGAGAAAGAGAGAGAGAGAGAGAGAAACATCAACGTGCGCTTGCTGGGGGCCGTGGTCTGCAACCCAGGCATGTGCCCTGACTGGGAATCGAACCTGCAACACTTTGGTTTGCAACTCACGCTCAATCCACTGAGCTACGCCAGCCAGGAGGACTTGGACTTTCAATCTCAGTGAGAAACTGGGGAAACCCTTACAGGGTTTCAAACACAGGATTGTGATTATTTGACTGTGTTTTAACAATGTATTTTGTCGAGAACGTATTTTATTAGAATAATGTTGGAATCAGGAAGGCTAAATAATAATATGTAAATCAAAGTATTTTATAAATTATCGAGTAAAACATTAATATTTAATCAAATAGTGCAATAACTTAGTCACTTCTTAGTGCACCATTTCTGACAAGTTACACATACTTCTCACAAATAAAAGTCTTTTGATAAACTACATTTTGGTGGGGAGGGTTCTCAGAGGAATGTGGAAATCCTTGCTTGGTCATGAGCAATTCCTGAATTACAAAGGATTTCACCGACAATTTTATTGTATGACCCTAAGTTTTATTGTCAGAAACAAAATGTCATGCTGAATGGTGGGAACCTAGAATGATAAGGAATATTAATTCCTTAATGTGATGAGCTAAGTTCTGACTTGACTGTGATGCCAGAAATACACACTCTAACATTCCCAGAGAGCCCGTCTCCCTGGAACCAGCCACCTGCAGTCAGCGCTCTCCTCACTAACGGCGTCAGCGACCTCTTGCACAGTTTAATTCCTACTTGTGCCAGAGTAAACCAGAAGAAGCTGCGTCCACTACTAGGTGCAACAGAGAAGTTCTCAGGGCCTAAACATGTTGAAAATGATGTTCATCTACAATGGCCAGCAATAACTTAAAATATTGCAGAGAGTGGAGAACCAGAAAGATGGAGAAAGAAGAGTCATGGCCAGAACCGGGTAAATGAAATCAAGGATCGAATCCAAGATGTGAAGCACCAGAGGGTAACGAGCTCACGCCCAGGAGGGTTAGAATCAGGGTTGTGTTTACGAACATGGTTGTGGATACAAAATATGCAAAGGAGTTTTCTTTTACAAAGAATTTTGAATGTGCTTAGGGGTGGGATGGCCATTTGTACTGAGTGCTTTAAAAACATGCATAATCCAACACATGCCTAATTTAGTGTTCTAGATCAAAATTTAATTTTTTAACACTTCTAAAAGAACAATGCAATGGTGAGGGTGTTTGCAAGTGGACGGGGAAGATTTTTTTTGGCAGAAGTAAATACCATGTAGTCAGTTGTGCTGACATGTAAATGTTTTTCACAGGTAGAGTTTGCGGTTTCTGTGTAGCACACAGGCCTTCCACCTGGGAAAGTCCAGCTTGGCGGTGACATTTCACTCCCGCTCACAAAGTTACCTATTGGCCACCATGTGCCTTAGAGTGATGTTTTCTACAGCTGAGCATTATTTGGAAAACAAGAGTGATGAGCCAACTAAACCACACATGTCATAATGAAATCGCGGGAGGAAATTGCTATCTACAAAATGCACACACACACACGCACACACATGGACAACCAGTTTTTAATATTTTTGAGTTTCGCCAAGTTTTGTTAAACAGCTTCAGAATGCTTAAAGCATATCAAAAATCTCTAAGGAATTTTTGTTTCAGTATTTTTTCTATAGAAATCTTCTCCTTTATTCATTTTCACATTTATCCACTAAATATGTTTTGAAGTCTATCCACGATACTTGGCACTCAGTTCATAACAATGAAAAGCCTAGGCCCCTGCACTGAGGACTTCAGTTCACTGACAGATGGAAGCATATGCAAGTAGCTACAATCCACAGCTGATCTGAGAGGTATAAATAAAGTACTTACGGGTAAAGAGAAAAAAGTGACTGCAAGTAACTTTTGAAGATGAACAGAGAACATTACCTGTGCCCTGGATCTTGACAGACTGGAAGTAATTTATGACGGGGAGAAGCAGAAAGAGTGGCATTTCAGGCAGAAGGAATAAAGCTCAGAGGCATAAAAAAGCACATTAAACCTTATAAACCATACTGAGGAAGTCTACCTTCTGGTACTCTTAGTATCTACCACCTAGCCAATAATTAACGTTAGCCTGTTGACCAAGTAGTTGTAGTTATTTCTGCTTATTATGACATTCTGCTGGTGATAATAATGATGACAAAATAGGATCTTGCTATGGAACTTGACCAAAGTGTCCATGTGCTTCTGCTGAGGGTTATTCCCCATGTTAACCAGCCTGCTTGCATCTTCCATCTCTAAACTGTCAATATGCAGTGTATATTGCACAACCATGTATGATGGCTGGTTGTTGAGCTTGAAAGATTTTAAAAAGGTGTTTTCTTTGACTATTACAAAGATAGTAGTTCTTCTGAAATAAATTTATATATTCAAAATAACTCCCATCAAAATTTCAGTGATAGCACACACACACACTTGACTAAATTGTTGTAAAATAAAGCAGGAACATAAAGATGAGAAAATAAGACAGAACAAAAACCAAGATTGAACTAATTCTATCAGATGTAACCTATTATAATATGTTCTATAGCCTGTGAAATAAAATAATTTATTCCTAGGCTAAAAATAAATGTATTGTGTAGCCCAGAACTAGAACCTATTCCACAGAGCACTATGGCATTCAATCAAGGAGATCCACCAGTCAGTGAGAAAGCAAAGGCTTGTTTCATCGGTAAGTGCTGTCTGAGTGAGCAGTTAGCAATGTGGGAAAAATCTGTTTAGAACCTTATTTCATTTCACACACCAGAATACGTTTCAGATAAATTAAGAAAGCAAACATGAAAAACCAAACAATAGAAAATGGTGGGGGAAAAAGTAAACCGCACATCAAATGTGTAGAAGCAAAAGGATTTACTAAGCTTAGAAACTGTAAGAGATATAAGGCAGAAAATTAAAGATTACACTACATGAAAATATAAAACTTGAATACATGAACTCTGAAAATCATGAGACTAGAACCAAATTGTGGAAATGTCTGCAGAAAATACTAAAAACATTTAGTATTTAATAAAAATACAAAAATATCTCTGCTGTATTACGAGCTTGTATTACTTGACCAAAAACTCCACAGAAAAAAAAGGAGGGAAATAAAATTAAAAAAAAAACTAAAAACAAGGGAAATTAAAAATAACTATTGATTATAACTAATAATTATCACACAATAATTATCAGTAATGGAGACACAAAATAAAATAGCACTGAACATTGTTTTGCAGACATTCATAGTATTTTTCTAGCTAATAATATTCAGTGCAGATACACAGACGATACAATGGAGAATCTTTGTGTCTGGATAATGGGGCTGTCATTACTTTTCTCAACTTGATTTTTAAAAAATGTCTTTAATGATGATTTATTACTTCTATCATTGAAAAAGCTGACAATACCTATCTATAGTAATTAAGAAGAATATCTTCCCCAAAACTGCAGAAAATTTATAATCCTGTACTCTGGGCCAACAGGCATTGGAATCCCACCACCTGTTGTTAAAGTCTGCTCGAGCAATAGAATCTCTCAGCAAAGAAGAGTGGTCTGCACCCATCAGCATCTGCTGAGACAGCAGAGGAGAGCAGTATCAATGGTCTATCAGTTTGGAATGCTGACTAACAAAGTAGGTGTTGTTAAACAGCCATCGTGAGTCAAAGCTAGAATTATTTTTTACAGAAAAGAACATGCAAATAACTGAAATGTGTATTTCCAGCAGAGATGCATGCTGCAGAATTCTAGGCAATGTGATTGAAGAGACAGTGTGACTGAATTACCAGGAACTTGGCCTATAGGGGAATCCTGCGTATGCTGCATGTTTCAGAAAATGTTTTCATCTATTTCTCTTTTCTTTAGAAAGGAAGTTTGTGGAAGCATTTAAGTTTATTTCAATATAGTTTTAAGTACTTCTAAAATAACTCCAACTCCACACAATTTGTTGGTGTTGGTCATGCTAGTGGGAGGTGTGTTGCAGGGGTGATCCCTGACAGCTCACTGGAATCTATGCAAACAGGTGGATATAATGCTACATGGTAAGTACAACAGGCTGATGGGACAGAAGGCCACGAAGTTCACCATGAAGAGTCACAAAAGACTCCACATGCTAGTTCATTCCTTGGACTAAGAACCATTAACTTTTTCTTTATCCTTCTAGCTTATATATAACATAATATTTAAGAAATAAAATCAAAGTCCTTCTTTTGCAATTAGTTCACAAAATTGTTGAGCCAGCTACACTGAATAAATTTACATCACTCTCTTTGCAAAATCTTATTAAAGACTACTGTCTTATAAAGATGTTTATAGAATATATGACCATCGGGATCAGGTCACTAAAACTTTTACTGTTATAAGTGGAAAGTATGGGGATGAGAGAAGCTAGCCTTCTGGTACCTAATCTGACTACTCAAGTCAGCCCTGTAAGACTGAAACAAACCTACCTTCCCCAGCTCCTCTCCACCTGATGGGACACACACAGGACTCTCAGGACTATGGATCCCTGTGCATCAGCTGCTGGTCTTTTTCCTCTACTGGCCATGGGACTTTTCAGCTTAGGAGTGTGGTTGTCATGTGGTCCTGGACAGAGTGAGAGCAGGACCTGGCCACACGGTGCTTGTATATTGTTTTCCCTTCTTTCCTCAAAGGTGGGAAAGGGACTTTAGGAATGGAGGCAATAAAAAATAAGAGTGAAACTAATTTAAACTAAGTTGTAAGAGGGTTTTTCATTTGTTATATTCTTTCTGTATCTAACTCAGGGTTAAGAGAGACCACAAAAATTTTCCAACAAAGCTAAAGGAGAATCAACAAAACACACACAAAAAATCAGAACAAATAAGAGTTTATTAAGTGCTTGATATAAAATAAATAAATGAAAATCAACAACTTTCCTGAATAGTACCATCAACCAGGTAAAACACAAAAGAAGAAATATCCTATTTTCTGGAAATAGGAGTGTATAGAAAACCTATAAGAAGGTTATGTAATGAGATAACGATCAGAAACATTCTATAACATTATCAATCCATAAATTATTTAATGTAGAATGCAGTTTCAATTACATTATTTTGTTTTTTAAAAAAAACTAGATAAAAGTGGTAAATTAATATAAAAATAACTGTAAGCGATTGTCTGAAAATTTTTATATGAAAGGAAATTGAGCAAGGCAGGGTGAGATACTATTATATAGCTATTAGAACTGTCTACAGAGTTCCTGTGATCAGACTGGTGTGACACTGCTAAAGGGAGTGACAAATCGGTAGCATCCAAAAAAAAAAGATTCAAGTATTTATATTAATTTGATAAATGACAAATTAACATTTTCAATTTACTGGGAAAAATTCAGACTATTTAATAAATTTTGTTATGATTGTTAATTCAGCTAGACGAAAACAAGGTTTAATTGTTTAATCTCTACCTCACAAGTCTCACAAGTAAATACAAAAATTTATACATATGTAATATATTCACACATCACAACATGTATATATGTGTATATATGTATAAAGTATTTATGTATTTAATTTATTTTTTCATATGCATGTTAGACTTTTCTCGTCAGTATTATGAATCTATTTCTTGCTAGTTTAGTAGACCTTGAATATAGCAATTTATTTAACTAATATTTTGGTGAATGTAGGGCTTGATTACAATTTTTAAAGAATGCATTCATAGAAGCACAATTCTAGGAAAAATGAGTATTTGTTTTAAAGATTTTATTTATTTATTTTTAGAGAGGAGGAAGTGGGGAGAAAGAGAGGTTGAAAAAAATCAATGTGTGGTTGCTTCTCACACGCCCCCTACTGGGGATCTGGCCTGCAACCCAGGCATGTGCCCTGACTGGGAATCGAACCAGCAAACTTTTGCTTCATAGCCTGGTGCTCAATCCACTGAGCCACAGCAGCCTGGGTGAAAAATGAGTATTTAAAATATTAGTAGCTACTGTTAAATCCTTGGCACAAAAGTCTAGAAAAAATTTTCATGTGGTTTACTTTTATAGGGATTATTTCAGTTAATTCATAGGTGTCTTAATCTGCCCACCATTGCACTTGTCATGATAGCGAGTATTAATTGAGCACTTGCTTTCCTCCTGACAGTGAACTAAGTAAGGACTGGGACAGGAAGTGTGGGGAGGATCAAGTGATACCATAGAAAGTCCTTACCCTTAGGGCTGTTCAAAAAAGGAAAAGAATAAAGGAAAATAGAAATATTTAAGTACCAAATTGAATGATAATGTCTATTAATATGTGATTTTAAAAAATCAGATAAAATAGATTAAAGTTTTTAAGAGATAAAATTGGCTATTTTTTGCAAATATAGTCCCCCCAAATAATTATGACTCCAAACCCATTTGGATGTTAATATTTATGATTATTACTGTTAACAATGTCCATGAGAATTGACTGAGTGAAATAAATTCTTCTACACTGTCAGAAAAGTTCAAAACACATGAATGATCCAGAGACACAGCTAATGAAAAGGGAGGGAAAGATGTACCCAAGACTTACTGACCATGTACCATGTGCCAGGTGCTTTAGTTACAGTCTCCTTGTTACTTCTGGCAAGACTTGGAAGGGGGACACTTTGTCAGCAATTCTCTGAAATGAGGGACAATTTTAAAGACAGAAGATTAAAACAGAAAACCTGGCATCTAGAAAGCCCCGACAACCTGCCTGTTACTGTGCTGGACTCTTGAAGCACACTGCTTCTGTTTCATACACACTTGATACTCTAAGAGGAGCTCAAAGATGCCTTCTAACTACATCCCAAAACAGGAAGTACCAAGAACAGAATGAGTCTTCAGGATACAGTCCTAATGGGTAGAAGTTTTCATTTGAGGAGCAGAGGTTAAAGGTGCATGAGAATGGCCTTGGCTGACAGAAGTCACCTCACATAGAATTGCCTAGGAGGTTAGCCTACCACCATCACCACTACCAGCTGCCTCCACAGCGCCCCAGGTGCCAATGGCTGACTCAGGTGGACTGCAAAGGTCAGTCTGCCTCAAAGCATGATAATTCTGCTGTATTGTTTACATCCAGAGTCCCAACTGGTTAGGCCAAGACTTACTTTTCCTGCAACTATATCCTTGATGAAAATCTGCCCATTCCTGTGTCGCCTCCCTCTCTCCATTAGAGGGTTTTCCTGAAGAGCACTCCTGCAGGGAGTCGCTTATTCTGAACCCAACCTAAGACAAAGGGGATTTGAGATTCTGGTCCTATTTCTGTTTATCACACCTAACAATTTCTACTCTTTACAAAGACTCTTCAAGGTGACTATTATTATTCCCATTTTAATATCTGGTACATTAAGATTGGAACACTAAGCCAGCTTCAACAAAAGGCAGATTCCAGAGAGAACAGAAGTCAACTGCTTGAATATCAATAGTTTCCCAAAAGGAACTGCCAAAAGCTGCCTTTGCCAGGGAGGGATTTGACTATGTCACTCTAGGGCCATCCATTCTAACTTTCCACAAAGTTACCCCTTCAGAGAAGAGTCATACCTGAGAGGACACAAGTGGTATACTTTTCAATCTTTGTGAAAGTCATTATTCTACATCTTTAATAGTAATGTCACTCATCTTGGTACCTGGCATGTGAAACATACTAAATAAATACTTTTTAAAAATACTATGTCTAAGGACTCCAGGATCTAAATAGGGGAGTGATTTTTCTAAGCTTGGAGCCTGTTATTTGCTTTTTCCCAGAATAGAATGCATATCTCTGCCATGAGCCTTTTGACCTGAATGCTGATAATGTTTTGCTACCTCATCTTTCAATTGGATGGGCTAGGATCAACAACAGATTCATAAATATACCAAACTCTGAATGGGTTGGAAATTTCTGGGCCACCCTTCTGGCCTTGAGGTAAGCCTTCATATGACTGATAAGAATGACAAAGGGACAACTATGTCAAACTTGACCAAGTGGAAAAAACTGAATTGAACACAGAGTATAATCTTCAAAGTTTAGATTATGTTGTGCTATGGTCCACTGGCTGCCATTAATGAATGTGTTCACCTATTAACATTGACAACTTAATCTGGTCTTCTCTCCAGCAAGCTACCAAATTAGACCCCACTGTTTGAATTTCATAAGTCTCAGTGACCTCCTGAAGGACTGCCTCTATGTCAAACTTAGTATCTGGAGCCCTGTGGTCTGGAGAGAAGAAATGAAGGGTGGAGACTTGGAGGAGCAGTCTATTACCGGTGGAGCCGAGTGTCTTTAGAGATGACCCATCACTCCACCCCAGCACCTCCAGGACTGGCTTTCAGCACATCCTGCTTTCCACCAATGAACTGCAGATTTAGAAATGTAGTGGAACACTGAAAACAATGGCTTCCTGAGGCTTTTGAAAATTCCTAATGGCACTATGTTCTTAAGGTAGTGACTTTGTGTTCAACTGCTTCAACATCTCAAATTTCTGAGACTTTGACACATGCCTATTATGCTTTTAATCCAAGAACATGTGTATTTTCCCCATTCAAGTTATTTCCTTACAAATGTCACCATGGAGTAGGGATGTCAGTGGTAGAAGTAATTATATCAGCACAAAAGTGTCAATTTTTTCTTCCAATGCTGGAAGGCAGAGACAAGAATGAGCCACAGCATCAGTCTAAGAGACACA